GTCCCGGCCCTCATTATCTCCAGCCTGAAACAATTTCCTTAATGTCTCTCCATGCTCCCATATTTCCTATACAGTTCTGCCAGATTAACCTTCCTGGGAAGAAGCTCTAATTCATCACCTTATTGTACTAAAAAGTAGTCAATGATTCCTTCATAAACTTCAATATAAAGTTCAAACTCCTTAGCCAAGAATTAAAGGTCCTCTATAACCTGAATACAACCTACATTTTCAGACATATATTCCATATGTATTTTTGCATACTTTTTTTATAAGTAAGATGGTCCCCTCTCTACACTTTTGCAAAATTGTCTTTGCTCTTCTTGGCCCTTTGCTTTCCATATAAATTTTCCAATCACCTTTAAGTGCCCTACCACTAAACATTCACAAATCCATTTGTTATTTTTATTAAAAATTTATTGAATTTGTAGATTGTGATAAGATTTTTTTCATTTTTATTGAATTTATTGGGGTGACATTAATAAAATTATAGAAGATTTAGGTGTACAATTCTATAATACATCATCTGTATATTGTATTGTGTATTCACACCCCAAGTCAAGAGATTTCAGTTTATTATGTTATTTAGTGTTGCTATCCACAAATATGATATAACTCTCCATTTATCCAAATATTTTATGTCAATAAGTTTTATAATTTTCTCTTTTTTAAATATATTTTTAATGATTTCAGACAGGGAGGGGGGGAGAGAGAAAGAAATATCAATGATGTGAAAGAATCATTGATTGGCTGCTTCCTAAACAGCCCTACTAGGGATCAAGCCTGCAAGCTAGGCATGTGCCCTGACCAGGAATTGAACCACAACCTCTTGGTTCATATGTCCATGCTCAACCACTGAACCATGCCAGTCAGACTACAATTTTCTTAAAGGATGTGTATATTTTATTTCTTTTTACCTTTGACCTCTTCACCCATTTCTCCCACCATCACCCTTTTGGGTTTTTTGTTTGTTTGTTTGTTTGTTTGTTTGTTTGTTTGTTTGTTTTAGAATCCACATAAAAGTGAGATCAAATGGTATTATTTGTCTTTCTGTGTCTGACTTATTTCACTTAATATAATGCCCTTGAGGTCCATCCATATTGCTGTAAATGGCAAGATTTCATTATTTTTATGGCTGAATCATATTCCATTGTATATATACACCACCTATTCTTTATCCATTTACCCATCCATTGACACTTAGGTTACTTCCATATTTTGGCTGTTGTAAATAATGCTGCAATGAACATGGTGATACTTATATCTTTTTGAGTTAGTGTTGGGTGTGTTTTTTCCCAGATAAACACCCAGAAGTAAAATCAATGGATCTATGGTGGTTCTATTTTTAATTATTTTAGGAACCTCCATACTGTTTTCCATAGTGGTTATACCAGTTTACCTCCCCACCAACAATGCATAAGAGTTCTCTTTTCTCCACATCCTCACCGACACTTGTAATTTCTTGTCCTTTTTATAACAGCCATTCTAAAGTTATATAAATTCTTTACATATTTTGGATATTAGCCCTTTATCAGACATATGATTTACAAGTATTTTCTCACATTCCATCAGATGCCTTTTCATTTTGTTGATGGTTTCCTTTGCTGTGCAGAAACTTTCTAGTATGATATAGTCCCACTTATCAAGTTTTCCTTTTGCTGCTTTTTCTTTTGGTGTCATATTCAAAATATCATCACCAAAACCAATATCAAGGAGCTACCACCTATCTTTTCTTCTAAGAGTTTTATGATCAACAACAATAAAAACAATAAAAAAAATCAAGCACTTGGAGGCTAAATAGCATGCTATTCAACAATGATTGGGTTACCAAAGAGATCAAAGAAGAAATAAAAAGCATCCTGGAAACAAATGGCAATGAACGCCACAATCCAAAATCTATGAGACACAGTGAAAGCAGTCCTGAGAGAGAAGTGCATAGCACTACAGGACTACCTTAAAAAAACAAGAAAAACTTATAATAAATTACCTAACCCTAAAACTTCAAGAATTAGAAAGAGAGCAATAAGAAAAGCCCAGAGTAAGCAGAAGGAAGGAAATAATAAAGATCACAGTGGAAATAAATGACATAGAGACCAAAAAAAAAAAAAATGCAAAAGATCAATAAAACCAAGAGCTGGTTCTTTGAAAGGATAAACAAGACTGATGAACCTCTAGCCAGGCTCACCAAGGAACAAAGAGAGAGGACCCAAATAAACAAAATCAGAAATGAAAGAGGTGAAGTAACAACTGACCCCACAGAAATACAAAGGATTATTAAAAAAAAATACTATGAACAACTCTATTCCAACAAAATGAACAACCTAGACGAAATGGACTATTCCTAGAAAAATACAGTCTTCTAAAACTCAATCAGGAAGAATCAAAAAATCTGAATAGGTTGATAACTATGGAGGAAATTGAAGCAGTAATCAATAAAACTTCCAGCATACAAAAGCTCTGGTCCAGACAGCTTCACAGGGGAGGTTTACTAAACATTCAAAGAAGAACTAAAACCTACCCTCCTCAGACTATTCCAAAAATTCAAGAGGAAGGCACACTTTTAAGCTCTTTCTGTAAAGCCAGCATTATCCTAATCCCAAAACCAGATACACTACAGAGGAAGAGAATTACAGGCCATATCCCTGATGAACATAGATACTAAAATCCTCAACAAAATTCTAGCAAATTGGAAGAAGTAAAACTGTCATTATTTGCAGATGACATGTTATTGTACATAGAAAACCCTAAAGACTCCATCAAAAAACTAGATTTCATAAATAAATTTGGCAATGTAGAAGGATACAGAATTAACACCCAGAATTCTATGGCTTTTTTACACACCAATAATTAACTCACAGAAAGAGAAACTAAAAAAAAAGAAAAAGAATGAAAGAAATGAAAAAAATCCCATTTACCATTTCACCAAAAAAATTAAGACATCTAGGAATAAACTTAACTAAGGAGGTAAAAGACCTTTACTCAGAAAACTAAAGGACATTGAAAAAAAGAGATAGAGGAAGACCTAAATAAATGGAAAAATATACGGTGTTCATGGACTGGTAGAATCAACATTATTAAAATGTCCATACTACCCAAAGCAATCTATAGATTCAATGCAATCCCCATTAAAATACCAACGGCATATTTCACAGACCTAGGACAAAGTCTCCAAAAATTCATATGAAATAAGAAGACCCTGAATAGCTGCAGCAATATTACCTAGAATCTCTCAATAATTCACCCAGACATTTATTCATATTTTAAATATAGTCCAGAATGTCATGATCATCTAATTTCATGAATTATAGATTAATAGGAGAAAATTAGAAATTATTCACAACTAAGCAAGAAGTAGCAGCCTGCAACCTAAAGAAGAGAAACCAACACATACACACACACACACACACACACACACACACACACACACTGAAAATTATATCTATATCAAACAAACACAAGAACTCCAAAGTTTCATAACTACAAGGAAATAACCATAGAGCCAAACAGTCTTAATTATCCCAATGATTTCTGGGGGCATCATTACATATAGCATGGTAAAATAACTGACATTTATAATATTATAATCATTTTAATAACTCAAATTTTTGCAGTTTGCAGTTCATACGAGACTTTTATATTCATTATTATAGTTAATTCTCAAAATGTTTGAGTTACCAAGTCAGATATAGGTACCATATCAAATTTTAAATTTTGTGGCTCAGGGATATTTTAGAACTTACCCAGGGTCATGTTAATTGTTAGATAGGTATTGGCGTTCATAGGCTACTGCATCATGACTTCAAATCATCAAATAATATTTACTTTTATGCTATATAATGTGGTTAGTAAGACAGAAAAGCATGTAATACATTCTAGAATTTCCACAAAAATTGCTGATGTGCTAAACACATCCACAAAAATTAATTTGAAACTTCCACAAAATTTAATTTGAAAGTTTTTAAATTTTTGAGCCCTTGAACGAATAAAATTAAGTAACATGAAAAATTCCCTTATATCAAATCCCCATTTCCCTATATGCCACAGAGATTTAAACTTACAATGTTAGTAGTAAATCCAGAACCATTAATTATCCTACATTTTAAAGTCTAAAATCTGTACAAAAAATATAAAAGAACATGCACATTACAGCAATCACTTAGATTTGATTTATTTAACTGAAAACAAAGAAGCATCAGAGGGAAGGTGGGGATGGAGGTGGCAAGGGAGAGATTAACCAAAGAACTTGTATGCATACTAGTATATGCATAACCCATGGACACAGGCAATAGTGTTATGAAGGCTTGGGGGATGCGGGCTGGAAGGTAGCAGGTGCAGGGTAGAGGAGATTAATGGGGGAGAAAAGGGAGACATCTGTAATACTTTCAACAATAAAGATAAATTTTTACTAAGTATTATTAAAGAGTCTAGAGATACTTGAACCTAGGTGGATTCTCATGGGAGAGAAGGTAGATATGGAATATTAGAGTAGATGTCCTGTGTCAAAGCACTTCCCCCTTGAACATTTAGCTTTAACAATATTAGAAACCCTCAATGCTATAACGTTTGGAGGTAAAATAATAATATTTACAATATTTCTAAAAACGAGGAGAAATAAATTGCTTTGGGTTTTCTTTTTGCTTTTTAAGCAATTGATTTTTCATAATCAAACACTATACAACAAGAGGAAGTAGGAGAGAGAAAATTAAAGTTGCAGCTGAAAAAAATTCCTATACTACCTTTTTCCAGGGCAAGGCTTATAGTCAGTTTAAAACCTTGATTTGTTATCATAAGAACAAAAAAATGCACAAAAATGTTACATAAATGGAGCTATCTGCTTAACACTCCTAATGGATCACAATCTGCCATCACCATGGTAACCTCTGAATAACTTTTTCCAGGCTAGTGCCAATTATGCACTTCTCTGGCCCTTGAAATCCCACTCTTTTTTTTTAAGGCCTGGAATTTTTAAAAGAATAAAGCCCAACAGTTAAGTCCACACATACCCTCTTGTTCAGTCCGAGTCATTTCCTCAAGCTTCTTCTGTTTCAGTGTGTCCACCACATCGGCAAGGCTCCCTTTGCGGCGTTCTGGGGTTCCAAAAGTAACACTGGTCATTATCTCGCGGTCCCGACTCCCTTCGTCAGGCTTATGTGGTGAGGTAGAGGTATTTCGGAAGGAATATAGGGAACATAACTTATTATTCTCTGACTCCTAGAAAAACAGAATAAAATAAAACCATTAGAATACTTGTTTCTTTTCATATCACTGGGAGAAAAAATCCCAAGCTCAGAATGACAATATGTGATGCTTAGATGGACAAATAAAATCCAGTAACTATCTCCACTTAAAAAAAGTACTAAACACTGAAGCAATTATCAAAGGAACTAACCTGAAAATGCAGATTCATACTGGTACGTTGTTGTTTTTATTAAAAGCAACCCAAGTGGTTCAAAACCAATTTCAAAATGGACACCTCAACTTCTTCTGCATTTGTGCCCTTCTTTTAAAATAGTTTAGATTCAATTACTAATTATTAGAATTGGTAAAGTTTTTCTTTAAATTGGCAGTTTAATTAGCACAGCCTAAAAATACATATACATCACAAAAACATTATCATCCTTGAACTTAGAAACAGTAGAGAAATTAGCTTCAATGATTGTTAATTGTTCATCAGAAAATATAAAAAATGTCTAAGTCACTGCCAGAAAAATAACTAACCTGAATATTTTTGTGTGTTGGGTTTGGGGAAAATCACTTTTTTTCTAGCTGTCTATCTATGAAAAGTTACAGAAACCTCTTTCTATTCCTTGCCTTTATCATAATCACACACATTTCTTTTTTTGTGTGTGTCTTTTATTATTTGTTTTTGGGTTTTTTTTATTGCTTAAAGTATTACAAAGGGTATTACATTTTTTTGTCATGTGGTATTTAGAAATGGTTTGTTGTTTATATTTGTTTACAAAAGAACAAGTTTGTTACAGAAATATTTGCACATGAATTACTTCACAGTACAGGGAAAGTTGGCCAACTGTGAGGAGGAAAAACAAATCTTAGATTAAAAATAATAGACACCTAAAAGTTTATAGAAAGAAAATATTTAAATATCTCTCTAAATCAGAACTGAGGGCTGAAAGCAACTACTATTTGGCCATTGCCCATCGGTAGTCTTGCGTTCGCCTTATCTGTCTGTGCTTGGGCAGTCTCTCTCACAATAAGAAATGTCGTGAACTAAAGCCTTTGTGATTCTCATCAGAAGCTTGAAAATCCTATCTGTTCGTATATTTCTCTCCATCTTCACAAAGAAGCCTGGTAAGCTTCCAGAACTACGTAGAGGAAGAAGCAGCAGGTAAGTTACAGTTAATAATCAGTGGGAAGGGATGGAAGGAAAAGGAATCTAGAGAAGTAAGTTTCCTCATATATTAAATAATAATTGTACTCAATAAATGTTAGGTATGTATACATTATTGTAATTTTACAGAAGGTAGGAATAAAACTTATTTTCAGGGTTATTGGGAGCATATAATGAGATAACAGTTATAAAGTAATTAGACTCAATGCTAAGCTCATAGGCAGTGGTGTTTAATAAAAGGTGCTATTATGCTGATGGAAGTAGCAGACTTAGGAATGGAGTCAAGGAGGATTATCCCCGCTCTGAACCTAAACATTTTTCTAGTGAAAAGTATTATGAGTCTTGAACTAAATTGAATATTGTGAAGTCTGTGAAAATATTTTTAAAACTACTGAATTGTATACATCAAATGGATAGTTATGTGTATTATATCTCAATAAAGCTATTAAAATATTGTGAGTCAAGGAATTAAGCAAAGAAATAAAAAGAAAGACTTATAGACACAGACAACAGTATAGTGATTGCCAGAGGGAAGGTGGGATGGGGGAAGGTAGAAGAAGGTAAAGGGGAGATAAATGGTGATGGAAGGAGACTCAACTTGGGGTGGTAAACACACAATACACTATACAGATGATGTGTTGCAGAATTGTATACCTGAAACCTGTATAATTTTACTAACCAAATGTCAGCCCAATAAATTCAATTTTAAAAAATCTAAAGATTCAACGCAATCCCTATTAAAATACCAACAGCATACTTCACTGAACTAGAACAAATACTCCAAAAGTTTATACAGAATCATAAAACCCCAAATAGCTGCAGCAATCTTGAGAAAAAAGAACGAAGTTGGAGAGATCACAATACTGGATATCAAACTATACAACAAAGCTATTATAACCAAAACAGCCTGGTACTGGCACAAGAACTACATATAGAACAATGGATCAGAAGAGAAATCTCAGAAATTGATCCACACCATTCCAAGTCAATTAATATTTGACAAAGGAGGCAAGAACATACCATGGAGTAAAGACAGCCTCTTCAACAAATGGTGTTAGGAAAACTGGACAGACACATGCAAAAAATTATTGTGAGCCAAATCTTAATTTTTTTCACATTCCCATTGTTGGCACAATGACTATCACAGAGTAAATGCTCATTACATTTGTGCTGAAATTAAGTAAAAATGATACAATTAATGGGGCAGGGCAGGAAAAAGAGCTCTTCTTTACCTTGGTCCTAGATCTCTTCCTTCCCAGGAGAGATGTTATATTCCATTAAAGTTTACAATAATGCTGTGGAGTGTTGCAGAGGAACTCCACTAGATGCCAATCATGTTTAGGCCTTAAACATGGCTTTTCGGAATGGTCTCTTGATTCTTCACTTTGGACAAACAAAAACTGAGATATGTTTTGGAAAGCCATTTTGACCTCTTAATACTGTCCCTGTCAGAAATCTGACCTAAGTGTTTTTGAATTGACAATTACCATTTGATCAATCATGCTTCAGTCACTCTCATTTCAAATGCAAACTAGTCTTATAGCATAGCCTATAAGTAAAAAAAAAATTTTGACTCAATCTAAGGGATTCAAGACCAAGTCAAAACATGAGGAGGTGTTGCTTACAGATGACTCACCATTGTCCATAATAAAGCAAATTTTTCCATCACTCGAAATATGGTAAGAGTAGCTCTCCAGCCTGAGTAACAACTTTAAGTTGTCCTTAAAGCATTTGGGCTCCATACAGTACCACTTTTTTCTCTCAGGACTAATTTCAGTCTTACTCATGTCACTTACTTGTTAGATCAACTACAATTCTTGGTTTTTTTTACTCATGGTAATGTGGTCACTGCCATCCTGCACCACAGACAGTAACCATGGGTTCCCACACCGATTACCCACACACTGTCCTCAACCCCATAATGTGTGCAAAGTGGCTCAACACCACCAAGAAGCAGGGAACAAGAAGCTGAAAAGTCATGATTTCACCAAGCCACCCAGATAGGCAGTGAATGAAATCACAAATGGCTTAAATCATATAAGTAATCTTATAACATTCTTAGGAACAATAGAAAGGAACAAAATTTATAATTTTGGCCCTCACTTTTATCTTTCTAAACCTTAAGCAGTATTGGCCTTTCATGAGTGGAGGCCTCTAGGCATTTTATCTGAGTAAAGGGGCACACAAATCCAAACACTTTCAATGAAGAAATTACTGTTCAATAAAAGGCAATCATGACAAATTTTAAAAAAGAGACTTGACTAAGAATCTTTAATCTTTTTTTCTAGAGGACTAAATCATTTTCAAATACATTTTCTTAAGAAAAAAAGCTCAACTTACTCTGTAAGTTTTAAAAACAAGTTCTATGAAATATCAATTGAGGCAAGATTCCCAATGATAATATCTGAGTCTTAATGCATGTCACTGCAGCACAACGGTGGAGAGATCTGAGACAATATTTCCCTAAAGCAGTGATTCTCAAACTTCAAGATATAGAATCCCCTGGCAAGTATGTTAAATGCAGATTCCTTCATCTCCTCCCATACCCTGAAGAGTAGGACTCGGGAATATAAATTTTGAGGAACATCTCAAGTGATTCTGATCACAGTTACTTTAATTCTGATGTACCTCACTTTAAGAAACATCAATCCCTAGGCAAATGAAATAAATGTGCTTTGCCTTAATGTTATAATGCAGATATAATTATGAATAATTTTAAGAAGCCTGGTTAGTTGTAATTTTTAAAAATAACATAAAGGAGATTACCTCTCTTCTTTTGACCTTTCTTGTGAAAACAACCGCTGAATAACATGACTGAACACATGAACATCACAAAAAGCAGAGTATATGGGGCACAGAATAAGCATTAGTTCATTCAACGAAAATTTACTATAAATTTATTTTCTTTCAACCCTTAACATCAGTGACCTCACCAGACCTAACAGTAAAAAATTTTTTAAAAATATTACTCATAAGAATCTTAGTCCTAATATAATGAATAAAGTAATGTTGTTGATTCAAATGATGGAAAGAGTATTTCACTGGAAATCAGTTAAACACAGTACAAAAATTATATGTAGAAGAGTGAAAAAGTACCCAGTAGGACCAGAAAAAAAAAGTCATTAGGCAGAGTTTCTAGAAAAGGAAAGCAATTTTCACAAATTAAGAATATTTTAGTAAGATGTTTTTGTGTCTGAAGGGATAAAAAAGTAAATAGTAAAAACAAAACATGTATGGATGGTGACAGGTGTTAACTAGACTTATTGTGATGATCACTTCACAATATATACAAATACTGAATCATTATGCTATTCACATGAATTATTATGCTGTACACCTAAAACTAATATAACATTTTACATCAATTATACATCAATTAAAAAACATGTGAGGTAATGGATGCTAACTTATTGTGGCAATAATTTTACAACACACACATGTCAAATCATTATGTTGTACACCTTTAACTAATATAATGTTATTGATCAATTATATCTCAATACAACTGGAAAAGCATATTAAAATAATATTGCTCCAATTTTTCAGGTGTGATTTCTAAATGGTGATGATATTATTGGTAAATTGCTTTCTTTTTTCCTTATTTGTGTTTTCTAACTTATAACTGATGAAATATTGCTTTTTGTGTGTTTTTTGCTATTTTTAATTAAATTTTTAAATTATATTTTGTAATTGTATAGCACTAGATATATGATTTAATTAGTTTCAGATATATATCATAGTGGTTAGACATTATATAACTTACTAAGTGATGGCCCTTGACAAGTCTAGCATCCACCTGGCATCAGAAATATTGTTTATATAATAAAGAGGTGCTTGGAAAAAATATAAAAGTAAATTTAAGAGAACACAGTTTAGCCTTCTTGAAGATTAGTACATTATAGTTTCCCTGTACTAAAACCAGAAAAAAAAACTTTCTTTCTTGGTATTTCTATAGTTGAGGGTTCTCAAATAACATTTTCTAATAAACAACAATGAGGTACCATCTCACACCTGTCAGACTGGCTATCATCAACAAATCAACAAACGACAAGTGCTGGAAAGGATGTGGAGAAAAAGGAACACTTGTGCACTGATGGTGGGAATGCAGACTGGTGCAGCCACTATGGAAGACAGTATGGAGTTTCCTCAAAAAAACTAAAAATGGAACTCCCATTTGACCCTGTGATCCCACTTCTAGGAATATATCCCAAGAAACCAGAAACACCAATCAGAAAGGATATGTGCACCCCTATGTTCATAGCAGCACAATTCACCATAGCTAAGATCTGGAAACAGCCTAAGTGCCCATCAGTAGATGAATGGATTAGAAAACTGTGGTACATCTACACGATGGAATACTATGCTGCTGTAAAAAAGAAGGAACTCTTGCCATTTGCAACGGCATGGATGGAACTGGAGAGCATTATGCTAAGTGAAATAAGCCAGTCAATGAAGGAAAAATACCACATGATCTCACTCATTCATGGATAATAAAGACCATTATAAACTTATGAACAATAATAGATACAGAGGCAGAGCTGCCTCAAACTGATTGTCAAACTGCAGCGGGAAGGCCAGGGAGGGTTGGGGGGCAGGAGGGAGGGGGGTAAGAGATCAACCAAAGGACTTGCATGCATGCATATAAGCATAACCAATGGACATAAGACACTGGGGGGTAGGGGAGGCCAGGGGATTGTCAAGGGCGGGGGGAAAAAAAGGACACATATGTAATACCCTTTGAATACTTTAAGCAATAAAACAATTAAAAAAACATTTTCTAATAAATCTCATTATTTAAAAGGGCATCCTTATATCAGCTAAAATCTATATCCTTATAATTATCACCCATTATTTCTTGTTTACCCTCAAAAGATTCACAAAATCAATTTACTCTCATTTCCCTATTAGAGTTGTTCAAACATCTTAAGAGAAGCATTAAATAGTCCTTTTCTAGGTGAAATTCCTCCAGTATCTACAACTAATTTCTCATTTGACATAATTTTCAGATCCTTTGTCTTTCTCCTCAGATGCATTCCAGTCTCTAGATACTGTACTAAAAATGGGTTGCCAATAACTGAATATAAAATTCTGCATCCTCGTTTTCACTGGGAAGAAAAGTAACACTCAGAGATTATGTGGCTTCCCCTATGCCACACAGGTATAGCTGGCAGAACTAAAATCTAAATGTAGTTTTCTGATACCACATCCAATGTTTTTTTTTCCATTCCATAGTGACAATAAATAAAATTAGTTATCAATTCTTGTATGAAAATCACCCTAAAATTCAGTGCTTAAAACAATAATCACGTATTATCTTTTATGCTAACTGTGGGTTAGGAATTCAGGAGCATCTGGGCTGTTTGGTGCTGCCTCGAGGCCTCTCTTGAGGTTGCCATTAAGTCAGTGGCTAAGGTTGGAATCATCTCAAAGACTTCTTTACTCCCAAATGTAAATACTCCAAAAGCTCAGGGCTGAAGTATGGGGTTCCCTAGACATCATTCTCTATCTCTGCGTGATCTCTCTACATGATGTTTTTCTCTCCATCATGTTAGCTTCAAACATGATAGTCCAGGCTTCCAAAGGTGCATGCCCCCGGAAAGAGCCAGATGAAATCTGTATCACTGTTTCTAACCTCGACTGAGAAGTCATGCCCTGTAAACTGTCAGTGTGTTCTATTTAATAGTGAGTACCAAGGTTTGCCCATAGTCAAGGACATGGGAGTTTCATCTCTGCATTTTTATAGGATGGAGTTATAATTATATCCTCAAATCGCTGCTGTGAGAAATGAATAATGTATAAAGCATTTAGTACAGTGCCTATCATATAAGACTCAATAAATGATAACTACTCTTATTATTAAATTCAAATACCCTTTATCCAATTGTCCTTTGTTTCAATTTACAGTTCTGAAAATACTGTCATGATAACCACTGGCACCATTTTTAGGGTTTTTTTTATACTCACTCATCTAAGTAGAATAATCAATATATGCTCAAAAACCACTTTCTTTATGAAGTCATCCCAAACTAATCCCACCAAGACCTGACCCTCCCAAAGCTCCAGTAACCTTACCACTTGTAATTAGAATTTTCTGGGGATACTATGAATTTCCATTCAACCTAACAGCATATGGATTAACTCCATTCTGGCCAGGAGCAGCTAGAGAATGTGTCTGCTCTGATTCATCTAGGTTGCCAACTGCACCTAGCCCAGGAAGGTGAATGGGCAGCCACATGGTGAACAGAGGAGAGCAGTGGGCTAAGGTTGCAAAAGTCAGAGAAGATGTCAGGATTTGAGAAAGTCACAGACCATGGGCCAGAGACCATTTCTAACCAGGAATGGAATTCTTGCCCTACATAATGGAGTTGAAACCCACATACAGGCAGAAGTCATTGAAGTTAGGAGAAACGACTAGCAAATGGACTCTCTAAGCAGCTGAATTAATCAACTTCCCTTTCTGCTGCCCAATCTAATTATAGGACAGAATATTACCCTCTCTTACTCTTTCTTCCACCCATTAGCAAGGCTGATTTAAATGTGTTCAGTCTTACTGCATTGCATGTTGTCATTTTTGTTTTGTTCTTCCATTTTGTTATATTGCCTCTCTAATTATAGCTTTACCTCACTCTAGTCTGCCTTCCCTAAAGATAAGCTTTATTAAGATACCCTGATTTCTGACATTCCCTCTATCTATAGCAAACCAATGATTTCTCAGACCCTACCCAAATCACTCAGTCTAAATCCTAAAAATGATTATTTCCAATACTCTCTTACTGAGACACTCCATGGTTGTCTATGGTGTGTTCTCTTTACTGCAATGAAGAAATCCAATTTGTTCAACTATAGATATGTTCCTGGTAATCTTTTGCTGAGGGGAATTAAGGAATGCAATGTCTATAAAGAAATTAAAAACAATAATAAAACCAACTAAAGTTACATGTATTGGCAACTTAACCATGTCAGTGATTAATATATTAAGTTATAATATATACTATATGTGTACTACTTTTTCTGGTTATCTGCTTTAAAAAACTTTTTTTGGAAGAACCAAAAATGGCCTGAGACTGTGCTGTATAAGAGACATTTTACTATGGTGTTATTGAGTGACTGACAGAAAAGCTTTATCTAATCTAGGTTCCAATAACTTCTTGCTAACAAAGGAAATCTAACCTTTTTAATATGCTGAGAACTAAATTGCTAACATTTATAGGTTCTTTCTCAGAGGAAAAAGTATATTTTTCTCCAATGTGACATATTTTGAGGAAAAACGTTGGTTTTAAAAAGCTTATATAAATGAAAATACTGAATTTGGCTCCAATTACCAACAGTTTATTCCTGGCAAAAGTATCATTTGCTCTAATAGTGAAATGAAATATATTCTTTTTCTTTTTATTAAAAATGATACTGGTAGAATATATTAAATTTACATAGCATTCTCAAAATTGGAATAATATCATGCCACTTTATTATATTACTATACTGTTCAATAACAATAAATTTATTCACGATGTGTCAGAATGTAGATTTTTTTTTTTTACCAATATTTGCTAAAGTGTCATGACTCCTAAAGTCCAAGAAGGAAAAGCCATTTTAAAAATATCATTTTGATCCCAAGAAAAAAATTACAAGAAAAAGTTTTTAAGATGTCCTCATCACCATATTTAATAAATGTAAGTAAATATAATGAACAGAGTAAATATAGAAAAATATTAAAATCTCCAAACTTGTCAAGACAATGACATAGAAAAGTCTTGCATTATCTATATACCACCAGCCTCCATATAGAATCAAATCTCAAGATTCAAAAGTCCTTAAAAATCCAATTGTTCAATACCATCTAGTACTTGAATTTCCTATGCAAGAAAGGTAGTATAATAGTTAACAGCTAAGATCTTTGGGTCAGATTTTCTAGTTAAATATGTTTTTCCATCTATCTCCCATATAACCTCAAACAAGTTAGATAATTTCTCTGTGCCTTAATTCCCTCATCTATAAAATGGGAGTGATAATAGTAGTGTTAATATGAAAATTAAATTAATTAATAAAAATAAAACACCTGTTATATCGTAAATGCTCATTAAATGATGGTGGTGGCAGTAGTGATGATGGCTGTTAAAATTTCCCTGGCAAGCAACTTTTTGCCTCTCCTTAAACACCTTCAATGATAGAAGATTTGGCACTTCTCAAAGCAGTTGATTTTATCTTTGGAGGGTTGTCAAACATTCTTATTTATAGGAATATGAATCCTATGCCTTCAAACCATGGAAACATTTGCATCCCATAGAAACATTTATAACAGCAGCACTTTCAATACATACACACAGCATTATAGTAGCCTTGTATCTTTTCTTTTTCTGGCAAAACATCCCCATTTTCTTCATTTCCTCCTCATAAGACATGGTTCAGCCATCCAGATCATTCTCTTCCTGGGTATGTTCCAATTTGTTTCTCTGGATCTCTTATATAGTAGTGCCCTGAATTGAATGTGCTCAATATTGTCTAAATAAAGAATTAAGGCACATGATCACTGAGAGATAATAAAGATCATGGATAGGCAACTTCACAGATGAGAATACTTATAACTTTTTGGTAATGGAACAGTAAGAAGAGCTTTAAGGTGAGTCCACATGATAGTGAATTCCCCAACACATGGAGCAACATTCTATTAGCTGATTCATGTGCCTTCCAAACCAGACAGCTACTTTCATCTGGCAATTCATTAGTATTCAAACTACCATATGATATGCAACCTAAACAACACTATCAGGCTATGTTGAGTTGGCTAAGACAATTTTAACCTTGAAACGAACAAATTTCGAATTAGCAAGAGACTTGATTATAGTTCAGATCTTTCATGTTTGAGATGAGGAAACTGAAGTCAGGAGATTTGAAGTGACTTCTCTAATGTCACACAGCAAATTAGTGTCAGAGATTAAACACAGGCCTTCTGAGAGATAATATCCTTTCCTAAATAACCCCAGGGAAAATATTTCTACTGATGAGAGAGAAAGGGGGAGAGGGAGGGAGAGAGAGAGAGAGAGAGAGATGACAACTTAAGGCAGTGGTTCTCAACCTTGGCTGCACATTAGAATGAGGCCCAGAAATTAGGATTTTAAAAAGATTCCCAGGTAATTCTAATGTGCAGCCAAGGTTGAGAACCACTGACTTAAGGCATTAGGGAAGAAGTAGTATGATTATGCAGATGTTGGTGAAGTGTAATTGAAAAAGTTTTCCAGAGCAAGCTTCTATGCATGGAGAGTCTCAAATGATTTCATGGAGGTTTCCCTACTTTCTCAACTGTCAATTTTTTTATCTTCATGCTCTCCTCCTTTGCATTTGTTTTAATTGCCTCCCAATTTCAGAGTGTGCTTATAAAAAATAACTGTATTTTTTTACATATAAACAGCAAAGCAGCTAGTATGATTCATAGAATCTAGATATTGGTCAGTTAGTTCATCACAAACCTATTTTGCATCATCCAAATGAGAAATAATGAAGAGAAAGTTGGGATTTATCCACCTCAGATATCATAATTAAGAATCTGAAGCCACCTGACTGGCGTGGCTCAGTGGTTGAGTGTCAACTTATGACCCATAAGGTCATGGTTCAATTCCCATTCAGGGCACATGCCTTGGTTGCGGGCTTGATCCCCAATGTGGGGTGTGCAGGAGGCAGCCCATCAATGATTCTCTCTCATCATTGATCTTTCCATCTCTCTCCCTCTCCCTTCCTCTCTGAAATCAATAATAAAAATATATTATTTAAAAAAGGAATCTGAAGCAAAGGAGGCAAAGTAAACACACACACACACACACACACACACACACACACACACACACACACCAAGCAAACAAAGAAACAAACAAAAAAAACCTCCCTACCATCTTCCAAAAACAGGGAAATAGCCTTGAAAATAAGAGAATCAAGGTACCAAAGACCTATTGCATGATACAGGTGTTGGCAGGGAGAGGAGTGCATGTACTAGTAGTATGACACAAGTATCCGTTGAAATTTGTTTAATCCAGTTTCCAGAAAAATCTGTTCTTAATTCAATATAAAAACTAGGGCCATTGTGGGGGAGAGTATTAGAGTAGTTTCCAAAAAATAGAAAATAAGATATAAAACTCTTAAGAAAAAGGCAAGGTAGCTGGGATCCATGAGGAAAAGAGGTAGTAATTAGGCTCCCAGAAATAATATTGATATGATAATTTACCCATGTTTAGAGTGTCTATTTTTAAATGATGAGGCTGGGGTCACAAAAATAGATCAGATCATGTTCTTTATACTTCACAAATCTTAACATTAAAAAGTACCAGAGCCCAATGAAGGTCTGTCAACCCCATTTATCCCTTAATAGAGATTCTGCTCTATTACAGTGAAATCCTTTCATGGCCTAATTTTTCAAGGGAAGACGGACTAGCGAGCAGATTGCTCTGTGTGTCATACACACTGAGCACTCACAGACACTCTGTGATCTCAACAATCTCCCATCTTCCCTGGGATCTTGCCCAGTAAGGTTCCCAAGTTTGAGAATTTCACCAAAAAAGCCTTCAAATTTCCTTCTAATATGTAAAATACATACAATGGCTTACCCAGAAACTGTTAGTGATACAGATAAATAACTTCTCTAGCTCTCTGATTTAAGTTTTTACAGAGAGCACAAGTTCAAAGAAAGTAAAAGTGATTTTTCAGAGGCTATGTTGTTCATGAAACAACTATCCAGCTATCTATCTACTTACCTATAAGTCTAACTATATTTACATATCCAGGGAAGGGGAAACTAGCACAAAAATGTCACCAATTTACCACAAAGCAGCAAGTGGAAGTATAATTTTGTCATCAGGTGCCCCCAATGTATAGAAGCTGTGCATTGCTCTACCTGGAGGTAATACACAAACTTGGACTGATGGTTCGGTTAGAAACATAGAACACATGCTTTCTTTCTGGCAGGAGTGGGAGGTGTTAATTTTTATTTTTCGCTCTTAACTTTCAAATACCCCAAAACTTATATTCAGATTGACTTCTGGCCCTACTGTACTATTCCTCATAGATCAAAAAAAAAGTAACCAATAGGAGAACTAAACTCTAATCTTACTGTCAATTTCACAAAGCAAAATAAATAAACTGTAATTAACTTCACGTACAAACCTTATCAGTGTGAGGGAAAAAATAAAAGAGAGAGAAGCAGGTATCTGTGGTAGAAGCATAGCAAGTACAAAATAAGTTAATACAACTGAAGGGCAAATGTTAACTCTAAATTCAAGAGTTAAAGTTTTCTCAATTTCATGTATTACATTAGCTTAATCCTAGCTAACCTAATGCTATCTAAAAAGCTACCAACTTACCACTGAGACTAACCAAAAAATTTCTAAATAACAGTAAATGCCAAAAAAAAGTTCTAATTCTTTGTGTTTCTAGGCAAACAAATCTCTCCTATTATACCACCACAATCTACCAATGCTTGAATGAGGGAAATTTCTTTCCAGAAGTTTGATGAACTTGAGAATATTGAATTCTAGGTACTCTCAGTACACTAGCAGTAAAAATAAATCAGAATTAAATTATAATACAAACAAAAGTTTACAAATAACTTTCAATCATTTTATTAAATAATGCTTTCCATTTTCTAAAGTGTTAATGAAATATAAAGAAGATAAATGAAATGTATAAATATTCATTTCTAATTTTTACCTGATTGTAAAATATTATTGGTAAAGGTTTGTAATTTATACTTTTGATTTCAGAATATAGTTTACAAAGAGATATATCATTGAACTGAATTTTTATCACTTAGAAAAATAATGCTTAGAGGTCATGGGAATGTAGTAATACCAAAATAATATTTAAGAGGTTAATAGTATAAAAAATAAATATGTCATCACATTAAAAGATTAAGTAACAAAAGGAATAATAGCTTGAAGTTGTTCCTCTTTAAAAAGGTTACATTTTTCTTGTTCCTCTTTAATAAGGAAAACTTATTACAGGGGACAACCAAACAGTGGGATAATTTGCATATCACGGTAATTAAGGCACATTCATTAGATGTGTTCAAGAAAGATTAGATATGTTCAGGAAGGAACAGAGTAGGATCTTTCCTGCTTAATGCAGGTGTTTTGACTCAATAATCAAAGAGAGCCCTTTCAAACTCATCTCTGATTGAACAATGGGAGCAGGATTTGTTATGTTAAACTTACTTTTATGGAAAGCAACCCTCTCCAAATTAAAGTAAGAAGGTAGATCAGCAAAATAAGCCAGTCAGAGAAAGATAAATATCACATGATCTCACTCACATGTGGGATATAATGAGCAACATAATTTGATGAACAAGAATAGATCCAGAGACAAATGGTAGGGGAGGGGGGAGTTAGAGAGCAACCAAAGGATTTGTATGCATACATATTAGCATAACCAATGGATACAGACATTGGGGCGGTGGAGACCTGCCCAGGGTGGGAATGGCTTGGGAGTGGGTCAATTGGGGGAAAAGGAGACATATGTAAAACTTTAGACAATAAAAAAAATAAAAAAGATGCAACTCTATTATATGACCTATATACAGGTTGTGCCCCCAAAATGTATACACATTGTAACAGCTGATAGCTCAATTTTAAAAATGAAATGTATTTTAATAAACACTGCCTTTATAAAAAAGAAGAAGAAGAAAGAGGAGGAGGAGGAGGAGGAGGAGGAGGAGGAGGAGGAGGAGGAGGAGGAGGAGGAGGAGGAAAGGGGAGGTAGATCTGGAGGAGTTAAGTATAATCCCAGCTTCCCCTTCAAAAGACATATGCTGCCTATCCAGGCATCACCATCTTATTCATGCTGATCTAGAAGGACCGTAAGCTTCATATTTCATTCTAATAATGAAAAGTTCAAATTAGTCACGTAAATTACTGCATGCTATATAATACATACATTATACTTTCTACAAAATATTGCTTAGAAGAATTACAGAAATGTGCATATTTCATTATTCCAGTATCATATTTCATTATAGTAATGTACCCAGATCGTCACTGGGCAAGAAGGAATTCTGCACAAGAAAGTGAACATTAATCAGAACCACCTATATACTAAAACAGGCTTGTGGAGTTCTTCTTTAATCAGAAAATTATTGGTGTCTTGAGATCAGCTTTCATTGATTAATACTGATCAATTATGACAAGAAGCCTATTTAAAAAAACAAAACAATACTTCTACTATGTTTAAATGCCATTTGAATCCATCAAGACAATAAAAGCTGAATGTAATAGGCCTGCTCAATCAAATTGTTCTGCTAGACTAGTTCCTACCACATTTTCTATTAGTAATCAAGTCTTATTTTAAATAATTATCAAGCATGACTTTCCCTAAGAGTCTGGAAATGTTATAGAGCCTAAGCTATCCTTTGGTCATGAGGAATATTTGCATATGGATAGTAGATAGGAACAGTCAAACCACAGAAGCATCACTATGATGTACACTAGCATCTTATTGGTGCAAGAAATGAAAACAAAATATTT